ATATTTTTTAACATTTAACATACAAATTATATATTCGACAATTTATAAATTGGCAACTTTATATACTTTTGATATCAAATAGAATTCAACGTTAGTGAGTGTAAACAATTACTTGCCTATAAAAATGCGTGGACGCAAAACAGTATCTGTGGTTAGGGTCAAAGCTAATTACGAAAAATTGACCATAAATATGCAATTTTAAAACTCACTTCCCAGTAGCTTAACATAAATTATGTTTAGTTTTTTTTTGGTTTTAATGTTAAAATAGTTGTACACAAGTTTTCTATATACCGGGTTTTTGGAAAAACCATTTTTTTTTTTCAAAAAATTAATAAGTATGACACACCCTAATCTAGATGTGAATGTGTTTTGTGGCGTTAAGAATCTAATACCTATACAGCAATAAATACTTTTAAAATGAAAACTACTATAAATTAAAAGTTTAACTATGTTTCTGAATTCATTTTTCTGGAGTCATGTTGTTATGGATTCCTTTAGATGATCATTAAAGATGTGTCGATATCATGTTTTCAATTAAAACTAGTAGATAATGCAGCGTAGCAGTTTTGAATGATTGCACATTGAATTTTCATTATACAAACGTGTGTTTTTGTAGGATAATGAATCTCTAATATATCTCTAATAAAAAAATATTCATTTCGCGTTTCTAATTTAGCGCTTTGAATGAGTAAAGTTTTTTTGCGTTTAAAACATCTATTAAAGTACTATTATGTTTAAATTTTTCATCAAATAATTTAAATATAATAAATATTTAATGACTTTAGTTATGTTATACTATAAATTGGTATATTTTAAAAATGTAACTTAGTTAGTTAATTGTTTTGAAACAAATATAGTTTTAATTTTTTTGTTTATTACACACATAATATACTATGTTATATTATATATTATAATATATTATGTTTGCAAAGATAAGTTTGGGTACCGGGTTCGAAAATATATCTTTTATAAGATATATTTTCAAAGATTTTTTGTTGTATTTGGTTTTGTTTGTTAAAAAAAAAAATTCCAATTTGAATTGTATACAATTAAATCCGATATTAAATAAAAATGTAACTTTGCCCACATTACCCCACTAAACGAGGTAATGTAGGTCTATAGAATACAACTCAAATTAGTGCTCCTTTAAAAAGAAGACATCTTTAAAAATTATGTATACATGTATATTTAAAAAATGATGTCTAATCATGATTTTAAATTTTCTTTATAAAAAAAACTATTTTGCTATATTTATTTTTATTAAAAGTCAGAAATATTATAAATAGGATTACGCCATCCTATCCTATAAAAAATGATAGATCATCGCGCAGCTGTGCAAGAAAGACTTAGTTTAATCAAATATTTTGTAGCAGAAGGAAAAAAAGCCTTTCTTGAGTTAATACAAATTTTTGGGGTTAGAAGGAAATTGTTGGGTTGAAAAGAAATTGTTTGGGATTGGTTGAATTTTTAGGTAAACATAGTTCTATTTTACAAAGGTAATTTAACTTGTTTGCTGAGGTAAAACATGGTAAATTTTGCTATTTAAAAAAAAAAAATTTAGTTACTTTGGTAAGCACATTCAAAACGAAACGATTAAACTTCAAGTTGAATCACTAAAGAAAGAAATTATTATACAGTCCAAGAAAACAAAATAATTTTTATTTGTTATAGATTGCACAACAGACCATTATCACACTTAGAAAATATTGGTTGTTCGTTTTATTGAGATAAAACCAGAAATTATCATTAAAAATGATTTATTTTTTTTCATTTTTTGGCTGTAGGCTGTCAAACAAGAAGCTAACTTGACAAATGTTTTTTTTTAAGCAAATACTAAAAAAATCTAGAATTACACATGCAGAATGGTTGAAAATTAAAACCTACCAATAAAGTTAATTTTAGTATAAAATATTAGAAAAATAAGTTTATGAATTAATAGTTAACCTTATGAGTTAATAGCTAGCCCTATAACCTTTGGGGTTATAGGGCTAAATTAGGGGTATTTTATTCCCAGGGTCCAACCTTCGCAATTTTTCAAATACCTCATAAATTGACACGATCAAAAACACGCCCAAGTTTGAATTGCACAATGCTTGAAAGTTTAAACCTGCAACACCAAAAAATCCATATTGCAATATAATAAAAAGTTATTATTGTGTCATTATTGATTGCAAATAAACGCTTTTACTATAGCAACAACTGGATTTTTCTGTTGCAACAAATTTGACAACTTTAGACGTTGAGCAAAAACTTATTTTTGCTTATGTTTATGTCAAATGATATCGTGTTGCAAAAAAAAAAGAAGCTAAATTTGGAAACAAAAATACGCTAAAAAATTTTCCCCCTTACCCCAAAAGTAAGTGCAATAAGTTGATATATTTTTTTTTTACTATTTTTGTTTAAATATTTTATTTCACATTTCTCTTCATTGGCAGATTTTAAATTTTATGGAATAGTCATTTTGAGTTTAAATATTACGGCTATTCAAAATTTACAACGTTCTCATTATGCGGTTGGAAACTTAAAATGGTCATGTGGTTGGAGACTTAAAATGGTCGAAAGCTTCGAAATCTAAAAATTTATTTAATGAAACTTAAAATTCTCTATGAATTTAAAATTAGAGTAAGACTGTAAAATAAGTTATTTTATAAACTTATTGCCCCACATTCGGGTTAAAAAGGCTAATTTGAATGGATATTTTATTCACAGGCTCCAATCACCGCAATTTTTTTTTTGCAAAGAATTATAATTGCAATAGTTTGAACTCTTTACAAAACTTTGAAAATATTTTTAGCACAAAAAATATGGTATGTCAAATATTTATCTAAATACATATATAGTTTTGTAATATCAAATTTTTTGTAAATTTGGTATTTATAGTCAACTCTGCAAACGGAGGGAAGGAAGGGGGAGGAGGAAAATTAGAGCAGACAATCTTTTTATTAGGTGGTAAAATCCAGTACCGCAAAGTTTTTTATTTACATTAAAAAATCGTAAAAAAATGTCTTAAAAATCTAAAAAAACTTACTAAAAATATAAAAAATATTTTAAAATACTTATGAATTTATAGAAAAGTATGAGGAATTTTTTAATTTTTTTTTGGAGACCAAAGCCTCCAGACTATTTAACTGTCTTAGTCTTGGTATTAGCCTTGAAGCCTAAAGTCTTGGTCTTAGTCTTGGTCTTGAAATCTTGGCCTCGGACCTCTACTGTCTTTTACTTTCTTGATTCTTACAAAAAAATATGAACTCAATGAATAGATTAGTTATTAATAACAAACCGTAGATCGCCACACACCGCTCTCAACGAGCTTTTGTTTGACAAGGTTCTAACTGAAATTTTTATCTTAGGAGAATTTAAAAGGAAGACTTTTAGTTTTTTTTTTAATGTTTAATTAAAATTATTTATATTATTATTATTTTTCGTTGTGTATGTATTCTTTTAACACAGTAATATTACTAGAATTATTATTACTGTGAATTACTACAGAATTGCTATTACACAGAACTAGCCATTCTGCAAGACCATAGCAGTTGTCTAGACCACAAGCTGTAGAAGAGTCTAAGAAGGAAATTAATTTAGGTACAGAAGCTGGAGTTGTGCGAATGTCAAGTAATGAATCAATCTGTTTGTCGGCTATATCAGGTAGGATATTAGTGGAATCTAGAGATGAGGTTGATGAAAAGTGTTTAGCAAACAACTCAGCTGTCTTTAGGTAAAGTAACAAAATCTGAACCATGTAAAAGAGATAGAATGACAGATTTGTGCTTATTATAGACACTATTGTCTTGGGAGCCTAATTTTTAAAATGAAATACAAGATTTTGTGACATGAGAATAGTGGTTTCTAGCAATAGTAAACAGCCCTCTGTTTGCTGGAGAATTTTTTTGGCGATAGACATACAAATAATTCACTGTAAATCTATAAGGTTCTTTGCGGTTCTTTGCCGGTTCTTTGAAGAACCTAAAGGTTCTTGGAGAAAATTTAAGGTTCTTTAAAGAACCTACGGGTTCTTTATACTCTCTTATGGTTCTCTAAAGAACCATAGAAAATTTCAAATATAAAGGACATTTTTTTAAAAAATTGACAATTTTGCCCTTCCACTTCAAAATCCATGTCGTCAACAGGGCTAGACACCCCTCTACGCCCTTCCCCTCGGGATAACCTTAGTTGTTGGCCGTGTTATTTACAATGTTTCTCGATTACAACTTTCATCAACTTTTTTCAACTTTCAAGTTCTCAATTACCTATTGAAAAGGTGTAGTATTGTTATTATTAATCTTTATTTCAAGAAAACAATAAAAGTCGAAGATATCGAAGCCCTTAAGTAATAGTATTCGTTTCGATCCATGATTAAACTGCCTCAGAGAAATCTTTTTTTTGTTATTTCTATTTTATTAATTAGTAAACAATTTAGTAGAAATCTTTTCTATAAATAAGGTTTGCGGTATTTAATTGAGTACGAAGTTAATTTTAAGTTATTTTACGCAGCAATTAAAGATTTTCAGAGAAACACAATATGTATTTACAAGTTTATGGCGTTATTTCTGAAAAATTAATTTCAGTTTCAAAAATAATGCTGGGTATAGTTGAAACTTCAAATATATTCAAAATAACAAAAAACATTAATAATTATTAAAAAAAGTCTAGTAAACCTTTCTTTTTTTTTTTTTTTAAAAAAAAAAAAGGTCTTATGCTTTCTATTTAAAAAATGTCTAGCACTCAGGTAGGAGGGAAAAAAAAAGAGATGTCATTAAAAAAAAAGATGTCACTTTTTTAATTTCAATATCTTCTAATATCTTTTTTTGCATTTCTATCTAGATTTCCATAAGCAAAACAACTCTCAAATAAATTTATCTGCAAAATTAGTACATTAAATTTTAAATTACAAACTATTAGATATTTTCGGCGAAAATCTTTTCGTGGAAAATCGCTTTTAAAAAAGAAAAGTGTTGGAGTTCCAATTTCAGAACAATTACTTATCTCCTCCCGTGGTATGTACATTATATTACGCCATATAATACGCATTGGTTTTTTAATTGTCGTTTAAATGATTAGCAGCAGATTTGTATCCCATGCTTGTTTAATTATTACTATAATTATGATAATTCTGAAAAAGTACTGAAGTCAAATATATTGAAATATATTACTGATTTGGATGATGCTATCATCTACGACAACAGCTACTAAAGCTGCAATGACTGCCACACAACAACCTGTCATAGTTAGTAATAAACATCATAAAAAAAGTGTTTTTGTAAACTTTATTGCTGGAGGAGTAGGTGGAACAGCTGGCGTTTTTGTAACATGCCCACTTGATGTTATTCAAACACGGTTACAGTCTAGTATAATATTAAAACCTAGTTCTTTAGCAAATGGAGTCTCAGTTAAACAACCTCTTGCTGGCAGATATGGCTCAAAGGTTTTTTTATATATGTTGCATATTGTTAAAACAGAAGGATTTTTTGCGTTATATAGAGGTATTGTACCTAATTTAATTGGTATTGCTCCAAGTAGAGCAACATATTTTGCTGTTTACACAAAAACCAAATCAGTTCTTAACAACACTCAACTTTCTAATAGCTCCTGGACACACATGTTTTCTGCTCTTTCTGCTAGTCTTTCTGTTTCAACCTTGACTAATCCAATATGGTTTATGAAAACAAAATTACAGTTAGATACAAGTGTTAAACGAAGAAGTGTGATTGAAATTGCCAAGGAGGTCTTTCGAAATGACGGAATTCGTGGATTTTATAGGGGACTTTCAGCTTCATATTATGGAGCTTCAGAGACAATGATTTATTTTGTTCTGTATGAAAAAATAAAAAGCATTTTAAATGAAAAAAATAGTCTTAGTGCTGTGGATGTGATAACAGCTTCTTTTTTCGCAAAGACAATTGCTGCAATTTCCGTCTATCCACATGAAGTGGTTAGAACAAGGTTGCGCCAAGAATCTTCAGCTTTTTCTGGTAATAGAAATTATAGTGGTTTTTTCCAAACATTGTTTAAGGTTTTTAGAGAAGAACGTTGGGCTGGACTTTATGGAGGTATGGGTGCACATTTAATGAGACAAGTACCAAACACTGTTATTATGTTTGCAACTTATGAAGCAGTAGTAAATTTATTGTCATAGTTACATAAAGTAGGTTATTTTTAAAAAAATGTTTGTTTAATATTTTTAATGCTTTGAAAGTGTCATTAAATATTACTATTATTAGTAGATTTTCTTTTTCTTTTTTTTTCTCTTTTTTTTTCTTTTTTTTTTTTTTTCTTGTTAGTGAAAAAAAAAAATATGTTTTTATTTTAAGTTCAATTTAAAGATTTTATTTCCTAATAATCTTCTTTGATTCAAGTGTTTCTGTTGTCATACTTCTTTACAATCATCAATTTTTCCACACTCAGCTCAAATTGTTAAAAGATTTTTCAAAATGTTGATACTTTGCTACAATAGATGATAAATCAATACTTAACATCTATTATATTAAAATCATTAGTAATTGGTTTGTATTGTTAACATTTAGTTTTAATTATCAAAATTTGCCTTTATTTTGGCTTTTAGTTGTTGATTTTAGCTTATTGCAATTTTAAATAAGTTCAATTTTAGTCTAAAATTAGTAATGAACATCATCCTAGCATATTTTTGCATGTTTTTTTTATTTTTATTTTATTAGTTGTTTTGAAAATAATATATTTAAAGTTTATTTATATGTTTATATTTATAGTTATTGCTATATAAAAGTATTTTTAATAACTTTTTTCTTTTGAAATTAAAATTTTATATTTTAGTTTATTTGAAAATAAATTTTATTGTAAAAACTCTTTACTTAACACTTAGTTTATCTTTCTTTTTTTAAAAAAAACATTCTAATCAAGTTGCTTAGTGATGCTTTATGCTATGCTTTAATGATGAGATAGTATTTAGAATTAATGTTGTTGCAGTATGACTCAGCTTGCTTGGTTCATGAAAGGTTTCATTTGTAACATTTTTCTTTGATAAATCTTGTTATTTAAAAAGTTAGCAAGAAAGTATATTGCTGTTAACAAAAACGATAAAATGAATATTTAACACATTATTTATTTTTAACACTTTCTTTTAATAACTTTTTAATGAATGAACAATATTTTACATTTTTTATTTTTCATCTTTTCAAAAGACATCATTCTTATCAATCATTAGCGAAAGTATGGTCGACACCATAATTTCTCAAACTTTAATTATTTGTGGTACTAGAGCTTCTACTTGTGAGAAAAAAAACTTTAAATTTTAGCTTAATTTTATTTTCAGTGCTATTGTTCATGCACATTGTATTGCACTAGCTTTAACTTAGAAAATAGTTTATATAACAAGATTAAATAGTTTTAAATTATAATTTAAAACTATTTAAGCTATTATAAAAAAAAACTTATGATTTCTTTTTTGGCAAAAATTAAATACTGCAGAGTTCTTAAATATATTGTCGTTTACTGTTCTAAGAACGTTATATTTTTTTATTTTCAAAATCTATGACTCCTGCTTTAGTCATCATTAACTATCATTAGTAAGGTTTTTGTATCTTTAATTAACAATTAACTTTAATTAACTTTAAATAGCTCTCTTTTTTAAATGTTTAGAACAGGTCTTAAATCTGATTTCTGTTCTGTAGTAGCTTAAGGTTTACAGTGGCTGGTGAATTTCAACTCAAAAGTTATCTGTGTACTGGTAATAGTTATCGTAATTTTGTTTACATTCATATTCATGAATGACTCCACTCCTATTGAGCCCTTAATGTCTTATCTTTCAATTCTGGCCATAAAACCATTTTATTTATTCATAGAATCCATTGCAAAGTTAGCATCTATAGCTTGTTGTCATATTTGGGCTGATATCTTGTCATATTGATTCTTTTAATGATGGCTATTTCCATTTAGGCTGATTTCAAAAAATGCATTTTAAACCTTTCTCCCATTGTTCAAAGTTTCTTCTCTTTCTCTTATTATAAAATTACTAAAACACATTCATAGTTAAAGTTTAATTCATAGCTTCAAAGTTAATTTGTTTTATTTTTATTTTTAAATTACTAAAATATTCATATACTTCAGTAAACACTTCGCAAAAAAAATCTTATGGTTACAATGTTTTATAATTATTTTATAGTTAATAAATTTTTATTGTGTGAATTAAATAAATCACAGCTAGTTATGTTGATTGTGGAGTAGCCAGGGGCGTCTCTAAAAGAAGGGGATGTATGGTGTCTAACCCCTCAATAATTATTTTATTCAATAAATAAAAGGCTAATTTGGATTTATAGTCGCCAAATTTAATTTTAATTTAGCCTAAGTTTGCTGAATTTTTTTTTTTCTTTCTTATTTTTATAGTGGCTAGTTTGTTTTTTTAGTCCCTAATCGATACGTCCCATCTCCTTCTTTAAAATCTTTTTGGGACGGTCATGTGAGTAACACTTTAAATAAATATTTGGTGTAGGAATGCTGTTTTATTTTCAACCATTTCAATATCAGAACAATTAATTATAAGATCTTCTTTTAAACTTTTGAGAAATAAAATCTTCTTGATAAATTTAGTTATATTAATATTATTTTCATATATTAATATCATTTTCTATAACTCATATAGTTATTTCTGGAGAAAAAAATACTTTAAAAAATGAAATAGTAAAAAATAGGAGTACCTCTGAAACAATTATTATTTGGAAACTCGTAAGTAGACAAATATCTAGCTATTGAACAAAATAAATTTATAAACTCACAATGTGCTATGTCGCAAAAGAATAAATGAAGCTGTAAAGTAGTAAAGAAATTTGGGACAGATTAAGAAGTTAAAACCCTAAAATAGGAGGGAATGTAAATTTAAAAATCATATATATATATGTTTGTGTGTGTGTGTGTGTATATATATATATGTGTGCGTGTGTGTATGTATATATATATATATATATATATATATATATATATATATATATATATATATATATATAAATATATATATATATATCAGGGATGCGGAGTCCTAAAAGGACTCCGACCTTATATCTCTATTTTTTTCGGGTCTGTAGTGTATAGAAGTTCCTAATATGTTTGTTGACTTATGATCTTCCATACGAAAAAAATTTATGAGATTTAATGACTTGGAACTTATTGTTTTTAAGCCTGGAGTCCGGAGTCCTTGCCGCCATTATACCTAAGGACTCCGGGTTCAAAAAATGATTGTTTTTCTTACCTAAAAGTATTAATTTTTTTCCTATTAAGTCCATAAACTTTTTTCCTATTAAGTCCTTAAACTTTTTCTATTTTCAGAGCTCCTGGGTACCAAAGACTAGGAAGAAGTAATCTTTATGTGACTTAAATTAAATCCAGAGTCCTTCTTGGGACTCTGCATCCCTGATATATATATATATATATATATATATATATATATATATATATATATATATATATATATATATATATATATATATATATATATATATATATATATATATATATATATATATATATATATATATATATTTATATATATATATATATATCTGTGTGTGTGTGTATATATATATATTTTTATATATATATATATATCTATATATATATATATAAATATATAATTTATATATATATATATATATATATATATATATATATATATATATATATATATATATATATATATATATATATATATTTGTGTGTGTGCTTCTTTTTTTGCTAAAGAACCATAAAGAAATAAATAATAGCATTTGATTTTTGTTTTGAAAAACAGTTTAATATATTTTGTCAAGTCTTTTTCGTAGTTTAACTTTTTGTTCGGGACCGTTGCGAAAGTCTTCTTTCGAAATTAATCCTTTCGCAAAGTTCTTTTTGCAATTCCTTTTTAAGAAATTTAATTTTTTTTTTTAATTTCGCCGTATTTTGAAAAAGGGTATATAAAGATATTTTCGCAAATCTTGTATTTCGGCAAACAACCCAAGCATATATTATGAATATAGCATCATAAATGAAATAACTGTAAATTTGTATTTAATGAAAAGATAAGTCCTAGTAAACTGGTTTTGAGGATTCTGCGAAAAACAAAACGCACAGAGGCACAATAGAATTTTTTTTTTATATATATACTATTAGGATCAAGATTCTATTATTAGAATTAATATTTAAATAGATGAAATAGATTTCAGTATATAAAATTTGGAAAATGGAATAAACTCAACATTTTCATTTTTAAGACTTCTGAAAACTCACTCCTCAATAATTTGAAAATTTAATGTGAACTAAAAATAACATTAACTTAGTAAAATGGATTTTTCTCAAATTGTTTTTACTAAATATTAAAACATCCTTCACAAGTAAATTTTGTTAGCTTCCTAGTTAGGGTTCCTATTGTCCCGCTTTTTTCGTAAGAAAACGCAAAAATTAGTTTACCAAACTTTAAACGCAAGTTTACCAAACTTTAAAGTTTACGAAACTTTAAACGCAAATTTTTATTTTAGCAAGTTTACCAAACTTAGGCAAATATACACGTACTTTTTTAATAAGGACGATAGAAAAAATATTCCCTTAATCATGGTTACGACGGAACAGATATTATGAATTTGTAGATAGCTTTTATAGGGGTCATCCACAAATTACGTCACGCGACAAGAGGATTCGCGATTCTGAAATTTCTAGATTTAAAACTTATAACAAATGTTGTGACAATAATATATTTATTAGATATAAGTAACAATAAGATAATTATTAAACAACTATAATAGTTAATACGCATTAGCATAAAATATTATAATGTTAATATAACTTGCACCGCGACACCAACATATTGCTAAAAAAAGTTATTAAAATAATATAACGAATAATAAATTAATATAACACTGTTTTTATTCAATTTATCAAAAATTTAATATATCTTCGGAGGTTACATGTCCGTTGAGTCACTGTTTTTTCACTTTGTTTAGTCGCTGTTTTTATTTAGTTTATACAACTTTATATCGAACTATAGGAGTGTCAAAAAAAATTTATGTACACTTTACTTTCCCCATACCTATTTATGTAAGTCGATGTATGTAACTACCATATCAGTCGATTTATGTACTCATTGATTATTATTGAATGGTTTTGAAAAACAATAGTTACACACACGGAATTTTCTAGGTTTATCTAAAGCATTTGATTTTGTCAATCACAAAATTCCTATCTATAAACTACGCAACTATGGAGTAGTTCACTATAACTTAAAATGGCTGCAATGTTATTAAGAAAATCGTGAACAAAAAGTATCACATTATTTAACATGCGCACGATTTGAATCAATAAGTTAGAGTGTTCTACAAGAATCAATACTTGGACCTATGCTGTTTTTTTATTTATATAAATCATATTTACTTGTCCTCGAAAATACTTAATCGTATTATTTTTGCTGTTGACTTAATATTTTATTTTCAGACTTAAATATAAAAAATATTGTTTATATTGTAAACAAAAAACTAATATCTTAATGATTGGTTTATAGCATATAAACCTTCATAAAATACTGATAAAACTAAAACTATTTTGTTTGCTAATCTAAAAACATCTAAATCTGAAAACCTTCCACTTAAACTACCAGAACTAACAATTAACAATATTAAAATAAAAAGAGTTTTTTCAATGAAAAAACTTTAAATAATTTTCAATGAATATTTAAATTGTAAAAACCAAATAAAGTTAGTCGAGAATAAAGTTTCAAAGAATCTAGGGATTATGTACAAGACAAAACATCTTTAGAACAAAATTTAAAAAATTATACTATTCTTTTTATACATAGTCATATTAACTATTGCTTGCGCAATTATCTTAACTATTGCTTGCGCAATCATTTTTCCTAAAAAATATACGAAACAAAAGCAAGTATGTCGAATTATTTTGGACGCAGATAGGCATGAAAGTGCTGAGTCGTTACTTAATGAAATAAACGCTCTAAACGTATAAGAACTAAATATCTACCATCATTTGTTATTTATATTCAAAAATGAAATAATTCCAAAATATTTTTATAAAGTTTTTTCTCTAATTAATCAGAAATATAAAACAAGACACTCAATAAGTAATTACTACATTCACTAAAAAAAATCTGACTTCTCAATAACATGTCGGGCACCACGCTTGTTGAACTTGGTTTTTGACGAAAATATTAAAAAAATAAAATCTATTGATATTTTTAAAAGAACTATAAAAAACACTTACTAAATTTAAACAACGCATACATTCTTTCATTTTTTTTTTTAAAAAGGAATATTATTTTTTGATATATCTTTCTTGTTGTTTTTGTTTGTCAGTTTTAATTTTGTATAAATAATATAAATAGATGAATTTAAATCTTCGAAATGTTTGTTATCTTATTAAATTCAAAATCTTTTTTAAATATTTAAATATATATATAAATATATATTATTTGTTGTATTGAATGTGTATATAATACAATACGTATATATCGATTTGTAAATTTTATAATTTTTATTTTAAACTTTTTATTTTTATTTTTTTCAAATTTTTTAGTTTCACTCTTTTTAATAATATTAGAACTTGTAAAATTATATTTTTTTCTATTTCACGAAGGGACTCGATGATAATATATTTTGTCTTCTGCCTACTCCAGTCAGGTTATTATTGTAATTATATATATTTATTAGATCGTAAAGATAACATTGTAAAATGTGTGCATATTGAAGAAATAATAATAATCCTACTAATAAAAATATAATTTATGTATAAAAATTTTAAAAATTTAGATAATAAGTTATAATTGAACAACATTATTAGTTAAAACATGTAAAACAACTTTCCAATAAATCATCAATATCCAAAATTTATTCCCTATACGGGGGGATCATACCCTCGCCCTTATTAACCGAGCCTCAGCATTTACAATTATGATCATCCACGACTCCACTCCAATATGTAGTTCAAAGAAAAAAATAGAAATTTAAACATTTGTTGCATACAAATTTTGTGGGCTTGTTATTTGTGCGCGCATACAAATAATGACTTTTTAAGTCATATTAATTAAAATCAACACTGGACAACAACATTAACTTTTTATGCGTAACAAAACAATAATTATATTTTTTTACTGCAGTTTTTCATGCTGAGTTCTAATATCATACTAAAATAGCTGTATAAGGGGTCGTCCATAAAGTATGTACGCTTTTTTTTTCGTCCATACTCCCCCCCCCCCCCCGCATTCTGCAATACGTTTTTTTGAGTACCCTCCACCTCCCTAAAAGTACCTACACTTTTAACCTATTTATCTAACATTTTATAATATTTTTTTTAATTTGGTATCTCCTTTCTTTTATAATTGACCCACTGTCCTCCCATCTCATATACGTCAATTGCAGACCCCCTCTGAGCGTACGTACTTTATGGACGATCCCTAAGCTTTAGTTTTTATGCAATCGATACAACTTATTATGTTTATGCATGTATTGTAAATAGATTACAAGAGAAAACGTTGAGTCATTTTACGTTAGACACTCTAGGGCTTTTATTTTCTCGCGTGTACACAGCTTCTAGACATTCTCTTTCTCAACCAGTAATCTGCCATCATTGAGATGCTTCATTGAAAGGATGTTGTCAAACTGAATGTCCATAATTAGCTCGTATATTTTTGGACCTACAAATACACATTCCTTGATTTTCTCTGAGCTTAATTTAGGAAACATGGAAATAAAATATTTCAATGGTGCACCATCTTGCCTTTAAAAAAATTTTCATTAGGCTGAGTTTTGTATGTAGATGTGGAAGGAGAATTTTACTGCACTCAATAATGCTACATGAATCACATTCTTGACACCAGGTTCTAAGAATTGTCTCTTAGACCATTTTTGTTTGATGTAATGATCCACCCTCGCTCAGCTATTCCACTCACAGAAAAAGCAACAGAACTTTGTATAACCGCGCTGCAATCCTAGAATAAGTTCTTAAACTTTTCCACAACAAATTTTCTACTGATATTCTTCATACTTAATCTTCATTTGATCACTGAAGTTCTTCATACTTTATCTAGTTTCATATTGTCATATGTTTCCTTTAATCCAGTTGCATTAGTAATTGAAACTGAACACTTTTTTTAACATAATCTTGAATTAGATTCCACTGATGAAATCTGGAACCTTATATCTCAACTTTGCTCTTAGATAGTCCTTAATCCCAAACCAGGTCATTAGGTTCATTTTATGAGATTCGATGAGGATCGTTGTCAGTAGATAGAAATGTTACATCTTTCAAAGTTGATGGCTCTGAAACTTCTATGTTGTTTTTGGCATCGTCATCACCACTGAAATCAGTCGGTATGTTGGTTAGTGGGTTTAGCACAGGAAGACCTTCACCGTTGGGCACTTGTTTTAAGGTACTTGGAATATTTGGATATTATATTAATTGTATTCTCTCCTATGTGATGCTATGATCTATAGAGGGTATCATGCAAAAGTAACTATTGGTAATATGATCAGTTGGTTCCCTCCATATCATGGGTACCGTAAATGATATGGCTCGTATTTTGCCATGTAACCAGTAAGAAAGTCCTGCACTACAAGAAGTATAACAAATGTGAGGACGCTTTTGATCACCCAACTTACAACCAAAGTCCATATGGTAAGCTTTCTTGATCACTGGCGTGATAGTGCGTTTCTGCGAAACCAATGTCACTTTGCCACAGAACAAGTCCGGATTATTGCCACAATTTCTAGGCATGTTGGATTAAAACTAATAAAATAATGCCATTATATTTTTAATAAAATCGGAAACAAAGCAATAAAACAGTTAAATTGCATGAAAAACATGAAACAAAGAACACGATTAAAAAAGAAGTAAACACATTCAATGAAGGACCATGAAATCAATCAACAAGACTTCTAGCGATAACTTTGAAACTAGAGCTAAACAAATTTTTTAATATCAGATTTGTGTTCAGCACCCTTGAAGTAGTATATTTCAGCTACTTTTGTTTCCGTTACAATTTCTCTCTCTCTCTCTCTCTCTATATTTATATATATATATATATATATATATATATATATATATATATATATATATATATATATATATATATATATATATATATATATATATATATATATATATATACCAATAATAAGAGTAATTTTTCGGTAGACAGTGCTCAATTCAAAAGCAGGGCAAATATATTATATTATGATAATAATAAAATACAATTAAAACATAAATCGGAGTTTCACGCTTTATGTGTTCATTAGACGTTATAAACAACTATAACAACAACAAAAATATATACAAAAATACAATACAGTGTTAGCTTAGATGACATTAAAGTTGCAGATAAGAAATTTGTTTTCGTGGTGACATTTAGATATTAATTCATTTCGTTTATTTAATAGTTTCAAAGATGATGTGATATGGTATTTTTCAAAGATGTAATGATATGGTATTTTTCCATTAAACAAAGATTATATAACTTTCTTCTAGGTTTAAAAGGTTCTTCCCTATCAATAATCTTCCACGTAATAATAGGATTTGAAAAAGATTTGATTCTGTTTTATTTGAAAAACTTTCCCTTGAGAAGAATAAAACCATCTTTTTAATGGGTGACTTTAATATATTTCTTATTAAAGCAAACTCAGATAGTTCCATTGCGGAGTATTTAAACACCATTGCCTCTAACAACTTTCTTCCTTTTATATCCTTACCGACAAGAATTACACTCAATAACTTTAATTGATAATATATTTTCTAACTCAATTTCTAAAGATATTTTCTCCGGCAATCTAACTATTAGAATATCGGATCATTTGCCACAGTTTCTAGTTTATCCATCTTTTAAAAGCAAAAAAAAAATTATTTTTGTAAAAGCAATATTTCCCTTCAAAATTTCAAGAAACTTGATAGTAATCAATTCAAAAACGATTTCTTACAGATAAACTGGGATAAAGAAATTAATTTTTTTAATGGTAATACAAACAAATTATATGAAGACTTAACTCTCTTTTAGACAAACACGCATCACTAAAAAAACTAAGCAATCGTGGCTTAACTCGGAGCCTTAAACCATGGATTACTCCACCAATCTTGACCTCAATAAAAAAAACGTAATATGACATTTAAAAAATTTCTCAAAACAAAAAATTTAATAACTGCTCTAAATCTTGAAAAAACTTACAAAACCTATAGAAATTTACTTGTAACACTTATTCGACGCAGCAAAAAAAAAACATTTTTCCAATTATTTTTCTTCTAACAGCAATAATTTGAGGGCTACGTGGAAGGGCATTAGAAGCTTTTAAATATTCGTTCGGAAGATATCTCATACCCATCTTGTATATATTTAAATAACACCATTATACATGATCCAAACAAAATATCGGAAAAATTCAACTCGTTCTTCATTTCAATACCTAACGAATTGCAAAAAAACATTCACTCATCCCATACTAACTTCTATAGCTATTTAAAAACACCAAACCTTGAATCTATATTCATTAAACCTACTGATGAAAATGAAATTTTATCTGTTATTCTTTCTCTAAATGATGGCAAGGCTTCTGGCCCATACATCATTCCAACCTTTATTCTTAAATTTTTTGCTTGGGATATTTCTTCATTATTTTCTAAACTATTTAACCTCTCATTCGTTACAGGTATATTTCCTAACATTTTCAAAACAGCATCATGTTAAACCAATTCATAAAAAAAGGCTCAAAACTTGACTGTAATAACTACAGACCAATATCGTTATTATCTAATATCAGCAAAATTCTTGAAAAATTAATGCATTCTCGTATCTACCACTTTCTTGATAATTCTAAGTGATTAAATGACCGCCAGTTTGGTTTTCGTTTAAAACACTCTACTTTCCATGCTCTTATTAGCATTACTGAAATGATTCGTGGTGCAATCGGTAGTTGTTCATTTGCTTGTGGCGTCTTTATTGATTTCCAAAAAGATTTTGACACGGTCGACCACAAGATTTTAATTAAAAAGTTATACTGGCATATGGGGTATTGCTAATAATTAGTTTTCATCATATATTGAAAATCATAGCTAGTTTGTCTCCATTAATGGGTTTGAATCCTCCAAAAAATTTAGCAAATATGGTGTACCCCAAGGCTCTGTTCTTGGGCCTTTGCTGTTTTTAATATATATAAACGACTTGTCTCACTCTATAAGCAATTCCACTGTTCACCGTTTTGCTAATGATACCAATCTTCTATGCATAAATAAATCACATACTCAGCTTTGTAAAAAAGTTAATTCAAATCTCCATCATTTGTGTCTTTGGTTGAATAGTAATCGTATCTCTCTAAATATCAACAAAACTGAATTCATTATTTTTTACCCTCCAAAAAAAATAATTAGTAATGATAATGTTAAAATTAAAATTAACAGTAAAATAATTTTTCCTTCTGAATTTATAAAATATCTCGGAGTATTTCTTGACAAAAAATAAATTTCTTTGAATTATCAAATGATTCAATTAAATAAAAAAATCTCTCGAGCCAATTGTATATTATCTTTAATACGACACTATGTTGCTAAACATACTCTAGTATCAATTTACTATTCCATGTTCTCATCCCATGTAAGCTATTGTTGCGTTGTTTGGGGGCAACAAGGAAGTTTTCTATTAAACAGTATAAACAGTTTGCAACGTGCTCTCATAAGAATTATGACATTTTTTCCTATTCAATTTAATATCCAAAAAAGGTTTTCTTAATTAAAAATC